GAAAGAAGGAGGCGGGGGTCGCCTGTTTTCAGAGGTAAAATTACTGAGAAAATGGCCATCAAAGAGTAGTTATTTCCTTAGCTTAAGAGTCTGTGATAACTGAAAATTTACTTTTTTGTGTGCCTTTAATCAACGTTTTTCAGAAAAATCCACACAGAAATGAGTTCTTTAATGGACATGAAAGGTGTTGAGCCAAAAAACAAAAATTCGATACAAATTCACAAACCTGAGGAAAAGTGCAAGTTTCTTCACTTTGATTATTTTGACGAGAGCCTGATTCCACCACGCTGCCTCACAATATGTTCCTTTTGTGTAGGTGTTTTTACGCTCCCCATCGACACAAAATTTAGATAATTTAGAAAGCGAGCTTCCGACTCTGCCTGTCAGGGCCAACCCAGGCTGAGAGAGATAAAGCAATCCAACAGAAAGACCGAGATACATCACGCATTCTATAAAACTCCTCCCCACTCGGGAATTGAACTCGGGTCTTCTGTGTGCGACAACGAAGCTCCCTATCCGCTACACCACGTGCGCCGGTAGTCAAAATCAGACCAAGAAAGTTGAAGGTAGGCTTACAAGAAAATAATGATAATTTGGTCGCTTTTAAGGACAAGTGGGCTTACCCAGATTTCGGAGGTTTCCAGAAATCTTGACCTTCACCATAAGTGGGCATTGCCCTATCCGTAGGAGAAGTTTGGTTTCAGTGGTGTGTATTATTTGTTTGGTTGTAGAGATAACTCTCTTTATCTTTTATGATAGATTTCATGTGTCAAAATACTTTACCTTCGATTTTCTCAACACAACATTTTTCGGGATAGCCCCTTTGTGCTTAAAAGGGACCATTTAACCATTACATTTTCTTATTTTAAATAGCACGTTGGTTGTTGCAAACTTGAGGCAAATGATTCCATCTTACGCACCCATCAGAATAATTCAGGTCATTTTAGGAAGCCTACAGCTTCGACCCAGCCATAATAGATGCCCAATAAAGCCACAAAAAAGATGGTGGCACTGAATACCTGATCTTCCCAAAGTGGGAATAGAACTCCCATCCTTCGCGTGTAAGGCCAGGAGACTACCCACTACACCACAGGCGCTGGATTCAGCTTTTATTTGATTATTCACACATGCTGCAAATACACCAGACAACCTAACTCTTACATGTTGCAAGCAAGTTAAATTCACAATATTTGTAAATCTCAAGCTATAAAATAAGATTTGTTTAATTCATACCCACATTTTAAGGAAAACATCCGATGCTTTCGGAGATGGAAGATAAACTCGGAGTTCCCGCCTCTTGAATGCTCACTTTTACTTTTAAGTACAGGGGAATATCCCGGAAAATGCAGCTTTGAGAAAATCGAAGAAAAGGTTTTGGGACCCTTGTACAGTTTATTGAACAGACAAGGAGAGTTTTCTCTATAACCAAACACATATACACGATAATGAAACCAAACATCTCCTATAGGTAGGGCAATGCCCACTTTTAATGTAGGTCAAGATTTCTGGAAACTCCCGAAATCTGGGTTAGCCCGCTTGTCCTTAAAAGCGACCAAACAATCTATTTGCTGATTGGGGTGTTAAAGCTATACCACCTCAGAAAAAAAGAAAGAATAGGTATAACAATATATGGATACCGTTGTAGTACAGGCAGGCAGATATTTCTAATTAATGAGGAAAACAAATAAGCAAAAAAAAACAACAACAAACAAAACCCAAAAAATAAACAAACAAACAAACACCCCCGCAAAAAACCCCAACCAAACAACAACAACAACAACAACAACAACAACAACAACAACAACAACAACAACAACCCCCCCCAAAAAAAAAACCCAAACAAAAACCAAAAACCAAAAACCAACCTCCCTCCCCCCAAAACAACAACAACAACAACAACAATAACAAACAAGCAAACCACCACCCCCCCCTCCAATAATGCGGCACTCAACCAATAGACGGGCTTGCTTGTTTAGAAGTAATTTAAATAAGGTTGGCTCCTGAACTAATGATAATTGTGAGGCAGTGTGGTGGAATCAGGCTCTCGTCAATTTTTGGGCATATTGAGATATTGGTGTCATCTTAAAGCTTGTTCATTTGTCTTGCTTTCAATGAAAATATTACCCGTCCACCTTCAATAGAAGTG